AATGTTTTTATTGGTTTTGTCAAAACCATTTTGACAACAAACAAGGTAAACAGAATAAGAAGCAAAAGGTGGGTGTGGCTGGACGACCACACTTCTGGTAACATGGGGGTGTGGCCTAATATGCTAATGAGCCATGGTGTCGGGTGTGGTCTAATATGCTAATGAGTTTCTACTGGGCTTTTTCTACAAAAAGAGCCCTGGTGCATTGGTAATAGTTATCAAATTAAATAGCTCATTGAGAAACTCCATAAATGAATCTCCAAAATTATTTTTTATTGAAATGCAGACATATAAACTGACACTTTGTTAGCTTTCCTTTATTAGTGATAATTTATATCTACCTCTTGACTGTGTGCACAATAACTGCTAAATAGAATGTTACATGTTAGCACACATTCCTTTGCAACATGTTAATGAGTATCCAATGCATAGTTACCGATGCCTTCAAAACCATGGGAAATTGTGCCAGACAAGGTAGTATCTGAACATTGTCTTGCAAAATGGTGACCTTCATTGAGGTACAACTGAGTAATGGTACATGTGAGTTTTTAATTGTATTTTGAAATGAGCCAGTAGATTATCAGATTATGAGCAGCTGTTTCTGGAAACTGTTTAAGTTCTGTAACATGATCTCTTTGAAATATTTGCTTAAGAACTTAAAGGCCTATTTACTTTTACAGGCATCCAGCTCCCGAAGGAAGATGATGTTTTAATACCTATGCTATCCAGCTCTCCTGCTAAGGAGACAGAAGACAGTTCAGACCTTTCCATTGAAGAAGAAGAGAAAATCAAGGAGGAACCTTTAACTATCTCTGAATTGGTGTACAACCCAAGCAGCAGTTTGCTTCCAACGCCAGTCAATGATGAGGAGATTGACCTACTCTTTCAAACCTCTCCTAGAGCAGAAAATGAGAAAGAAGATACAGATTCATTTGAGGAACTAGAGGCAGATGAAAATGCATTTTTGATTGCAGAGGAAGAGGAGCTGAAAGAAGCTCGGAAAGCCCTTAGGTGCAGCTATGACTTTTTGTTGGGTAGCATAAAGGTAAATGCTGTTGTGAAGAGTTTTTCCAGACTTCTTCTTGTTGGGCTTGGAATACTGCTAGTTGTTTTCCCTCTTCTACTCTTGCTTTTGGAATCAGATGTTGATATCTCGTTTCTCCATGAAATCCGACAAACGCCAGAGTTTCAGCAATTTCACGTTGAATATTACTGTCCTCTTAGACAGTGGGTGGCCTGCAAAATAAATTTTATTAGTCACTTGCTTGGTAGCTCTTAAATGCTAAGAATATATTACATAACTAAGGGCTATATTCAAAACTAGTGAATTTCAGGCAGTACTAGGTGCTCGCTCGCAAACATCTGCAAGGCCATCAGCAAGTAGGTCTTCATTTTTGATCCATAGTGGACTTCAAAATGCTTAAGTTTCCTTTCCATAATCAGATAGCTGGCTTTGCTACATGGTGGCCTTTAAATAACCAAAAAGCGATTTGATTTTTATTGTCTGTTTTTATCAATGACTTTGCAGAACTGCAATTTATTGTCTGTATCATTACAAGCCATGATATTCTAAATTTAAGTACTAACCACAGAGAGAAGCTAATGATTTGAATATACTCCTTAGTGAAACAATCTGCTAACCAATGCCTATACAAGCAATGTTGATTGCTGGGATTTTGATTCTTGGTTTGAGTTTTCATTTAAAAATATTTTTATGTGTTTACAAGATTTTGGTAAATTTTTAGCAAAGACAACTTCTGAAGATATTTAAGTGTACAGATTGGTAAATAAAATGCACAAGGGCATGTTATGAATTTTTAAAAATGTTTTAGCAATTTTTTAAAATTGAAGAATGAAAATTCTTACAAATCTGCACAAGATGATGTGTAGCTGCAGAAAAAAGTAGGAAGTTCACTTAAATGTAGGCAGGGTCTGAGGGATGGAGATGAAATTATACCAGGTCCTCAAAGACTGGGTTTCTGGGGTCTCAACTGAACATTCAGAAGCAATGTGAGATTTGCAATATTATGTTTGCCTTGTTATGTCAGTGTAGGGGCCAGGGGAATTGGCAGACAAGAGTGAATGCTTAACCCTTCCTTTGCTTACTGATTCTTCCTTTCAAATACCCCCCCCCCCCGGGCCATTTCCCATCAGTCAGACTCCAAGACTGAAGAAGTTTCTGCTGGCTATGGGGAGATGACTTGGGGAAAATGTTGAAAAGTAGAATTCATTTGTTTCCATAACCTCTGCAGCCTACCAGTTCTTTCCTCTAAATGCTATCCTCGCACTCATAGAAACAGGCAAACAAATGGGTTAACGTGTACATGGAAGGAAATAAGTGCTTTTGACAAGGTGGCAATTTAGCTTTTCTTGTGAGTTGCCATCCTACGATAAGTGGTAATGGATTATCTTTGCAAGGCAGTGCAACTACAGTTTTGTAAGAGATTTAGGGAATTTTGGATTAACTGTAAATTACTGTATATAACAGAAAAAGTGAATAACAAAACAATGCCTAGATTGATCTACTTTAATATGTAATAGTTTAAAAAACACCGGTCTCTAAAAGAGACAAACTCTGTGAAAAGCATCCTGCCCAGTTTCCCAAGCATATGAAGATAAATTCTTAGTCCCTGATTCTATTCATTACTGTTTCATAATAAATCCCAGAGTCATCATATCATGTTTTATTTCTGTGCATGCTATCTGTTTTATATGTTATAAGTGGTAATAGATTCACATGATTTATTCATGTCCTTATGATGGTGGTGTGTGATTATGTTTTGTTGTCTTGATGTGCTGTGTCACTCCAAGCATTTCTTAAGAGGCTGAAAATGCATAAACCCTTATGTGTTTAAAGTCAAACAATAGTCCTGGTGCCCAACTTTGCCTTTTGTATCGTACAGTTTTGTTGGATACGTGATTTTCCATCTCTCATCCCTATACCAATCTGAGTCCTTACTCAGATAATCCCCTCACGGAAGGTTTGCCTGTATGAAAAACATATCATCTCCATTATTGCTGTTAGAATGGTGGTAGCTCTTTATTATTTTATTTTTCTGGAATTGATCAGTGTATATACTGTGTGCTTCAGAATTTGAGTATAATTTGCCTTCACAAGAGGCTGTTGAGACAACTCAGACTTCATGGTGTTTCATCCATGATGAGGGTAAAATAGTATTTGACCTGTTAAAACAGAAGTATGGTACAGTCTAGCTCACAAGCATGATTTTCTATTGATTTCTATACAGCCCAGGTGTGCTTAAGTGCACATCAGATTGTGACTGTAATTTGCATAATAAAAAGTTCAACAGTTCTCTAGGGGAAACTTTGATTCCCTGATTCAGAGTTCTGTGGGAGCTCAGTAGAGACCCTATGCATGCAAGAAGTTACTGGATCAGGATGCAAGTCTCTAGCTTGTTTTTTTACGCAGTGGGCTAGTTTGGGCAGTTTGCCTATTGTGACTTCTCTTTCTTTGTCCTTCTTCTCCTACTGTTTCCATCGTTAACTTTGTGAGCTGTTCTCCAGAGTCCCAAAGATAGCCAAAAATAATCATGGTTTTCCTTTCAAATACTACCTTTCCTAAAACATTCATTCCTTTTGAGAATAAATACTGATCAGTAGTTTGGTGCTTATTTAATCTATTTGTAACTTCTAGTTAAATCCTTTCCTTTGAAACAAGAGTACATTAAAATGACATTTCTCTTTGGTTTCTAAATCAACAATAACAGTCATCTGCATTTTAGGCAGTTATGATTATAGAAATAGGTAATCCTGAATTTGCAGACCATGTGCTAAAAATAAAGTCAGGCTCTGTTCTGAATCTTATATATAATTGACCCCTTAATGATGAACAGTTACATCCTGAGTTTTATGATGTAGTTTTGTCCATGTTATAGGCTCCAGAATCATTAGGAGTGTGTGTGTCTGTATGACTTAGGGAAGGGGTGAGTTGCATGAGGAACAGGTTACCTCAAAGATTGGACTGTGCAATAATGATACGTGTAGAGGTCAATGCAAGTGCAGGTACATGGGATGCATAGATGTATATACACACCATTGTCCCTTTAGAACTGTCCTAAGGTGAAATCCATTGAATAATGAGTACAAATTACATCTTTTCTAGAGAACAGATAGAAATTAGAAGCAGCTGAGGGGGGAGGGTGTATATAATCTATAGCATATACTGCATAGACCAAAATGGTCTTGTCTATAGTGTTGGAAATGACAGAGTTGGCGTATGAAAAGTTCATAGGTACAGTATTGTGTATTTCTGTCTGTGCTTGGAATTTATTGTAAAGCATTATGTACTTGAAATCTATTTTGTGATTTGTGAAATATTTATAAACACCACTCTGGGAAGAATTAAATAGGGTTTATTTCACTTAAATGCAAACAACACAAAAAATACAAAAACCTTTGGGGGAAATGTACCTGTAAACTTGAGCCTTATCTTTGTAAAGTGATTTCATATTTGTATGTTAACATCTTGATTGTTTTATATGTTAATATGGCAGGACTCCCTAATAAAAATACATTGGACAAACCCTGTGCAAAGATATGCTTTTCATTATACAATAAAGTTATTTGCTAAAAGGGCAGCAGTATGGGTTATTACTGCTTTGATCATAAACCTGGAATTTCGTAAAAACTAATTAATGATCCAGTCCACAAACTAGATAAAGCAGCATACAAATATATTGAATTGAATGTCATAACAATTATAGGAGGACATTATGATGAAAGGTGCCAGGATGGCTACAGGAAGAGACACTGAATATATTCAGAATCAGAATGTTGGAAATATACACACAAAGATATTTACTTAAGCCACATTGTTCATAGATATTGTGTTTGTTATGATTCATGTTTGAAATAAACTATATATATTGTGTTTGAGGAACCAACACATTCACTTCCTTTTTAAAAAGTTATAAACCTCTTTTTAAGTGTCTTTGTTGCCATCTGCAGATGAGGAGGGAGCACGCTGTGAGGTTATTTCTCTCATTAAAGTGATCCTAATAATAGTTCCTTACTTTTATTTTGAAAATGTGTCAAAAAAAAAAGGGACTGCAAATGTATCACTGCAAAATAGAAACTGTTCTGATACTGTTTTGATTTCACTTTAGGAACTATATTCCATGGAAGATCACACATAAAGCATGTAAAGCCAGAAAATTATGAGGCAGTGCCATCTGCTGATCTTTTTAGAGTAATCTCAGAGTTTTAGTCCAAGAAATTAACATATTTACTACGGACATAATATTTTAGTACACCAACTCTGAGAATCATTTGTGATTAATATTAAAAGCAACTTTAAGCACTTCATAAAATAATGAATTGGGAAATGTTTGATCATTTCCCAAAAAACTCTTCAAGTTCTTATATGACTCTAACACTTATTCGTGATTTAATGAATCAGATGGGATGTATGTACTATAACGGAATATTACTGAAACATGGAAACAATTTGAATTGTTTAAATTCTTTATATGGACTTGTTTGTGCTGCAGGTTACCACAGCTCTCATTTTCTGGTATTAATTTGCCGGGTTTGTGCTTATTCTATGTCTTCTTTTAACATCTTTTGAATTAGAATAATATTTTCTCATAAAATCAAACTGGGATCTCACATCTAGAATTTTCTTTCCATCCTACTAGTGGCAGATTTGGTTTGCTTGTGGAAAAGAAATAGGTCAGAATGTGTTGATTACCATCAAGGTAATCTTTGAAGGTTTTTAAATAGAGGTTAGATGGCCATCTGACTGCAATGCTGATTCTGTGAACTTAGGCAGATCATGAGAAGGAAGGCGTGCATCAGTGCTTAGTTCTCGTGGCCCTTTCTTACATGCCCAGGGAAATGCTGATTGCCCCTTTGAGGTCAGCAAGCAATTTTCTCCAGGCCAGTTTGGCCAGGGATCCTGGAAGGGTTTCTGGGCATGGAGCAGGGGTCACTGGGGGGGGTAGTTGGGGGGGGGGAAGTAGTTGTGAATTTCCTACATTGTGCAGGGAGTTGGACTAGATGACCCTGGAGGTCCCTTCCAACTCTATGATTTTATGATTATAAGATGGACAGGACAAAAACAGCAGCGGGAAAGACAAGGGAGGAAACAGGGCTGGACTAGCTGAGTCAAGGGCATGCTTATTTTGGGAGTTAGGTCTTTAAATATGTCATTTTTCACATATATAAAATTTAGGTATACTATCGCTCTGTTTCCTAAGTTATGAAATGTAAAGTACAAGAAGAGGATTTGATTCAGCCTCTCATCCTTGAATGTTTTCCTCTTTCAAGGAAAGGCCCCTTCCCCAAGCATCCTGACTTTGGTTCATAGGTTCATATTCTCTTTGACCATAAAAAGGGAACAGCACGTTAATAATTTTGAATTATTAACAAAATAAACATGGTTTAGTCCAATATTAAAGAGACTAGGAGTAAGACTGGTGGGAAGAAATACAATGAGTTCTAGAAAGAGGCTACAGGTGAGTGTCCCAGCTGTGGCTGATAGGGCAGCACAGGGGAAGGGGAAAATAGAGAGAGGCAAGCCATGTTTATTTCCTTCTGCTTAGCTATAAGGCAGGGCTGTCTCAAGTAATTTTGCTGCCCCAAGTGGGTAGTATGGGAGGAGAGCCACATGGTAACAGGTATGGTTCCCTCCACCCCTAACTTATGTTGATTTGGGGCTATGCAGTGGCAGCTGAGGTAGAAAATATCTCCTCCTAAACCATGTTTTCTGGGTTCCAAGGGTCTGGAAAGTGGTTCTGTAGCCAGGTACAGGTTTCCCAACTCTGAGTTGGGAAATACCTGTAGATTTGAGAGGTAGAGCCTGGGGAGGGCAGGGTTTGGGGTGGCGGGGGACCTCAGCAGGGTATAATGCCATAGAGTCCACTGCCCAAAGCAGCCATTTTGTCCAGGAGAACTGATCTTGGTCATCTGGAGATCAGTTGAAATAGCTGGAGATCTCCAGATGCCACCTGGAGTCTGGCAATATTTAGGGGGGGGGCAAGTTAGTTGAAGGACTTCAGTGAAGTATACTGCCAGAGCTCACCCTCCAAAGCAACCGTTTTCTCCATTGGGACAGATCTCTGTAGTGTGGCGATCAATTGTGATTCAGGGAGATGTCCAGGCCTTTCCTTTCCCCCCAATTCTTGTTTAGCACTTCAACTGACTCCCTGCTAGTGCCCCACAGCCTCTTGGGACTCCCAACCTGGGAGCTGTAGTTCTAATTCCCTTTGCTATGGCTGCAGTAAGGCTAGCTGAGAACTACAACTCCCAAGCTGCAATGCGTCAAAAGTGGGGGTATAAGAATGGAGCAGCCAGTGGGACAGGCCAATTGGCATCAAGGAAGCTTCC